GCACGGCCCCGCCCGCCCCCCACCCCCCGGCCCCCGCCGCCGCCGCCACTGCCGGCCTCTCCAGCGTCTACACCTCACGTGCCCTAACCGACCCGACCCTCCGGTACCTCTCCGGGTCGGACCCTTTCGCCTCCGCCACAGACCACCATAGCCGAAGTAGCTCTATGTATCTGGCGACGTCGCATTTGATGTCCCAGTCTTCATGGCCAACTCCCGATGTCGAGCCCGGTGTTCCCGGCGTCAAACGCCCATCTGAAGGTTCCTCACTTTCCGCTCTCTGTCACTCTACTTCCGCTTTCTGTTTGGTTACTGGGAAAATTTCTGGGCCCCAATTTTTTTCACATTTTAACTCGAATTTTTGTTCTGATGTAATTGTTTGTTGTTTGTTTGATAAGAAAGTGAGAATCTTGAATATGATTATGATTAAAGTTCATTGCTTTAATACAGACGTTTACTGGAAGTTTATAATCGCAGTATCATAGAGATCAAAGAATGGGAATGCACTTGCTGCCTTTGATGCATGCATACATTGCTAATTTAAGCTTATTTCTATGTTAATCTTGTATGCAAGTGTATTTCTGATTCTATGTGTGCCTTTTAATTTGCTTATCAGCAAGTATGAATATGCTTTTTTGCTTTAATTAGTAATGTTAGAAACAGATTAGTATTTCAAGCTTACTTTCATCAAGTCAGTTTACCCCAGATTTCACCTTAGAGAAGGAAAGTTGAAACTTTTTTCAATAATATCATGACAGATTTAGTTAATTAACTTTATCTACTATATGGTTCAGCTGGGTACTGTATTTTTTATATGTCTAATGTATTGGCATTTAGGTCCATATATTTACAAAAATAGAAGCACAAGAAAATTTATATTTGTGTTTCTTATATATGTACGTTCTTACTCAAAATTACTATTTAAGCTATACTTATATGGTAACCTATATGTTTCCTCTGGTTTTCTTGTATATACGTTTCTACTACGTACATTAGCACTCTACCATCAGAGTTTTATGGGTACGTATAATACGATTGGGCAAGAAGCTTGGTATTCTGCATTAGCCAAGCGCCCTAGATATGAGAGTGCAAGCAATTTGCCTATTTATCCACAGAGGCCAGGAGAGAAGGATTGTGCCCACTATATGCTCACAAGAACCTGTAAATTTGGAGAGCTCTGCAAGTTTGACCATCCTATTTGGGTTCCTGAGGGTGGAATTCCAGATTGGAAAGAGGTGACTGTTTAATGTTATATTACATGCCTATAATGGTATTTTATCGTAATTTTACATACGAAATTATTATTTAGTATAATAACTTCTTAAATTCTGATATAAAATAAAGTCATTTAAATTTATCAGTGAATTGATCATATCCTATAAGCTATTTGTCATTGCTATGTTGTATGATTGTTCCTTGGATGTGCAGATACAATATTATAGTAAGACTTTTTTGCTTATTTCTTATGGTTTTTAAAGCTCGGTAGTCTGCATTATAATACAACTTTTTCTTTTAAATTTTACTGTTTCATATATTCTTTAGTCTGCCTACCTGCTGAATCTTCTGTAGAGAATCTGGTTATGTGGGAAAGATAAAGCAGCGAGGCTGATTTGTTCTGAAGTCAGTTGTTGGGGAACATATTATTTCTGACTTTCTCTTTCTTACTTCTTACTTTTTAATCTTATTATCATCTCATTAACCCGAGTTATGTATATTTGGACAGACTAACGACTGTTAATTAGTTCTCTCATGAACTGCTGAATAGGAAGAGGGGTGTTAGGGTACAGATTGTCGGCTAATTACGTTGTCAATACACCTGTGAGTTGTATCTTTAGTCTTGGTCTGTCATGTTTGTGCATTGTGATAACTATGCCATCTTGAAGCTATGTTGAATACATTTCGTTAGATTGTGTATATCGTGAAGGAAGGTTTGTCAGGCAAAACTTTCACAGTTTGAAAAGGTGAAATTTTGTTGCAAGCATGTTTTTTAGCAGAGTTTTTGGTAGAATTATTTGATTAATGTTCACTGAATCATTTCTCAGTGAAGTGTTCTAGTTCTTCAATCTTGAAAACCTAGTAGAATGTAGCCAAGGCTAATTTCCGTTGGAAAATAAACTATAGCTAAGTGTAGTTTTGAGCTTTTGACTTGGTTGTTGGGTGTTTTTCTTTTTGAAATACAGGCTATATTTTTCCATGGTCTGAGATGTTTTTGCAAGTGCTATTTCAATGCTAGGGTTGCTCATGGAGTACCTCCATCATTATTGAAAGAGTTTCTTCAATACCCAAGTGCATGCTTTTATGCAAAACTCATTGGCTTACTGAGTTTTGAGATTCCTTTTGGAGGAGACCTTGCTCCTATGTTGATGTTGTTGTGGACCTAACTTGAAGATAAAGATCAAGAGATTAGGTTGCTTGTAGCCGTAAACAAACAAAGGAGAGTACTTGTATCTTGATATGTTTGAAAGATAGTTGGTTATTGGTGACTGTGAAGGCTTGTAGGAATGTATTAAGAATTGTTTGGAAGGTGTGTGGGCAGTTTTCTAGTTGTTGACCATAATGATGGTGACATAACGTTTTCGAAGTCAAGTCAGTTACTATGTCTGACATATTGTAGACACATACCTATACTTTGCTTAGAATCATGTAAAAAGGGCTTTCATCTGATTACTATGCATTTGCCTGTTACTGAAAGAAGATGAAAATATTAATCTAGCTTATGATTTGAACCTGGCTTACACCTGTTTCTTGCCTTAAATTCCACGTAATAGCGGTCCCATCTGATAATTACCTACTTGCTCAATAACATGAGTTGTGTGTATGAAAAATGCTATAAATTTATGATTGCATGATTCCATTATTGTGGCAAGTTATTCTGGTGCTCTGCAGAGTATTTGCTCTTTTCTGCCTTTTGTATTATCTTCATCAGGAATCTATTAATTTTAGAAATTGAATTTGTTCATCACAGATTGCAGCTGTTTGTGTGCTATTGTCTATTTGCTTATTAATTGATAAAGAGACAAAAGGTATATTGCTATAACATAACAGAAATTTATGATTGGTTCATTAGGTTCCACTTGTCGCTCCAAGTGAATCCCTTCCTGAGAGACCTGGAGAGCCAGATTGTCCAGTAAGTAGCAATTCAATATTTTTTTTTCTTTTTGCAGAAATGATACTTTTAAACACTTTAACTGGACATGGATTCTTTTTCCTTTTTAATGTTGCAGTACTTTATAAAGACTCAAAGATGCAAATTTGGTATGAGGTGCAAGTTCAATCATCCGAAGGAAAAACTGGCTGCTGCTGTAAGTGCAAATGATATGCAGATTTTCCAAGAGTTATCTGTCATCTGGACCTATTCCCTATTTTATTATGATATGATGTTCTACTCTGGTTTCAGGTTGCTTCAGAAAATGCTGATGCTTTTGCCTTACCTGAGAGGCCTTCTGAGCCCCCATGTGCAGTAAGATATATTTCCATTACTTTTTTGGTGTGCATTATCCATCTATCTATGATGTAGATTTGCTTATATTCCATTTCATAATTTTTAAACAGTTCTACATGAAAACGGGGCAATGTAAGTTTGGTGCAACCTGCAAATTTCATCACCCAAAAGATATCCAGATACCATCAGCCGAGCAAGAGAATAAAATTGGAGAAACTGGGACAACTATTCAGCCGGAGGGAACTGGATTTGCTGTGAAGCTTCCTGTTTCATTCAGCCCTGCACTATTATATAACTCCAAGGAGCTTCCTGTAAGACCGGTAAGGATGAAGCAACACATAAGCATTTTATTATTCTATTTGCATTACGTCCCGATTTTTAGTTAATTCTTTCTTCTTTTGATTTAACAGCTTTTTGATGTCGTAAATTTCTGTTGATCATGTATCTCTTGCTTCTAACAGGGTGAACCCGATTGTCCATTCTACCTGAAAACTGGAAGGTCTGCATATGTATAGTTTTGTTGATTTATACTGTGATAAAAGTAAAAGATGACTAAGAATTCTAAAATGGCTTTTGTTTTCTAAATCAGTTGCAAATATGGGGCCACTTGCCGCTACAATCATCCTGATAGATATGGTATATTTAAGATTCTGATGTTCAAGATTCCAGTGTTCAGTGTCGTTTATCAAATAGTGTTTCAAATTTCATTGCTTAGATTTTTGTGCAGCAATCAATCCACCAATTGGTGCAATCAGCCATCCCATTGTAGCCCCTCCGGCAGCAGGTCTGAACATAGGAGTTATTAATCCAGCTGCCTCCATTTATCAAACTTTGGCTCAGCCAACGGTAAATAGTATCCTATCTTTCGTCTTACTCTTTTTCTTTTCTACCATGTTGAACTGTTAGCTAATTCAACTCTCTCTCTCTCTCTCTCTCTCAAACACGCACGCCCACACGCACAAAAACACATGCCGACGCACTGGGTGGGCCATGATACGTGGTTGTAAAACTTCATCTTGGTATTGTTTGCTTAAAACTTGACTCATGTAATTTTTTTTGCATGTTGCAGGTGGGAGGGGGCCAAACTGTGTATCCTCAACGCTTTGGACAGATTGAATGCGATGTAAGCATTCTTCTTCATCCTCTTCATTATTTAAATTAATGTGATTTTAAATGCATATGGTTTTTGAGACGCCTATGGATAGATCCTAAGAGAAAAATATTGAATTTGAGTGTTATTGTTACTGGAATATTATACCTTCTCATTTTTCTGAATGATTGGAACCTTGATTCTCACCATATTAAAAATATTGAGTCGGCCATTAATGGTTCTATTTGAATACTTTCTCATTTTTCTGAATCATTGGAACCTTGACGACAGCTCTCATGTTTATGTGTGGTGATTTTTTCGTGTTGTAGTACTATATGAAGACAGGGGAATGTAGGTTTGGCGAACAATGCAAATACCATCACCCAATTGATAGGTCAGCAGTGGCGCTGTCAACAACAAAACCAGTTCAACAACAAAATGTTAAGCTAACTCTTGCTGGACTACCTAGGAGAGAGGTATGAATCCTTCTCTATAGAATGATGGAGTTATTCTTTGTTGAGATTATACTGTTGGCGCAATAGGGATTGAAAAAATAGTAATGGTAAAAGATACAACTATCCGTTTTTCCATTGACAATTGATTGAATTTTCTGATGCATTTAACCCATATTCTATCTTTTCCGTTGAAAACTTTAGTCTATCTAGGCGTTATTTGTTACCTTAAAACTGGCATGTAAGAGTATTAATAAGGTTGGAACTTTTTACAGGGTGTTGCTATCTGTGTGTATTACCTGAAAACTGGCACATGCAAGTATGGTGCAACCTGCAAATTTGACCACCCACCTCCTGGCGAGGTTATGGGCATGGCAGCATCAGAAGGTGCATCCGGAGGGGAAGCAAAAGTAGACGAGTTCACACAGGAACAGCAGCAGTGAGGTCCCTAGCATGAAGAACTTTGGGAGTTATTTTGTTGATCTCTGTTGCCATGCCCTGTTTCACATTATGCTTCTCGAGCCATTGTTGGCACAGTACTTGTATGAGTTGTCTAATTAGCTATTCTTTGTGTTCTGTTTTGCTTGTACGGTGCAAGTCTTTACCGATTGAATAACCGAAGCGTTTTTCGGTCTTCAGTAATTTTAGCCTGTCTCTGCAATACTGTCTTGAGTTTCTAAATGATAAGTTTCTACGCTCTGGTGAAGTTTGTTCAGGAAGTTCCCGAGCTTTCCACTTGCAAATATGACTTCAGTAATAAAAGAAGTAAATATTTATGCAATCGAAAGCGTTTACAGCAAATTTGCAAATATGTTCATTAGTTGCAATTCCCCTTTGAGCCACCACTCTAGTCTCGGTTTTGCCATGAAGAAATTGTGGGAGCGTGAATTAATTAAGGATCTCTCCTCCAGTACCGTAATAATCAATGAATGAATCTTAAACAAGGCTTGCAAAACCTCCTCATTCTCCTCCCTCTGCAGACGACTGCATCTTCACCCTTGTCTCAACTGCCGATCGATCTTCCCTCCAATGATCTGCTTTGGCTTCCATGTTGAATTGATCCTTGCAAGAAAAGCATTAGGCTCAACTTCAGACCACAAAAACGCTGGCTCTTATGAAAGCTCTGAACAGGTACCTTCAAATCAGTGATGTTTTCTTTTCAACTCATCCAATGCGCGATGGTTGTCAATGTCCTTTTTGTTTTTCAAAGGTTGTTTGTTGGTGTCCTTTTGTTGTAGAGAACAGAAAAAAAAAAAGAAAAAAAAAAAAGGGTTTCTATGAATATCAAAACAAAGGTGTTTTTATTAAGAAAAATTAGGTGTTTGGTTATCTCAATTAAACAAAACAAATTAATGCAATAATAAAAAGAATACACTCATTTTGTTTTCTTTTTAGAAATTCAAGATTCTAAATTACCCTAAATTACAAGATATGAAATTCAAACTCAGGTGCAATGTGACGGGTGGATTGCCTGACTAATTCGTCTGCAGCTATGTACTATAATTAAAAGCTCCTTCATTTTAAAGAGGGAGGGAGAAAGATGAAGACTTTTAGCCAATTTAGTATTTATAAAACGAATTGTGGATTTTTAATGGATAAAAAGAAAAGAAAAATAAGAAATTGGGAGGGGAGGGTGGCGTGGCATAATTGGGGTCATTCGTAGGATATATAAACTTCCCGAGATGATAATTCACTGCTAATAATAATAGGCTTGCTTATTATTTAAAACAGAAAAGAACCTGTTTGGATGGAAGGAAAATAGGCAGGAAAAAATGACAACTAGAAAATAAAGGAAAAGAAGAAAGATAGTTAGTTAGAGGAGAGAAGGCAAAAAGGAGAAATGATAATACAGGCGCAAGCAGAGTGTATCTCACTCTGCTCCTCAGCCTTTAACTCCAACCACCACCATTACCAGCATTTTAGAGTTGGAGTTATAGCACATGCTAGTCTAACCTTCTTGTCCAGATTTCCATCAGTGGCCACCATGTCCACTAGAAGCAGCAGCAGCCATTGGAGGAGGAGAAAGAGGAGCGACGACGTCGTATCACCTTCTTCTTCTTCTTCTTCGAGATCTTCATGGTGTTGTGCAGCTGCCTCGGCCTCACCACCACCACCAGCAGCTCCCCCAACTGCAGATAAGGTCCGTTGCTTCTTTGTTTATCTGTCTCTGCTTGCTCTCTTTGCTTTGATTCTTCTTCTTCCTCACTTCCAAGTGGTCGACTTTACACCAGAGAGAGGTGCCTGAATTACAGACGCTGATCCGAAGATTCTGGAAAGTGGCAGCTCCCTACTGGTCATCGGACGACAAGGAACAAGCGAGGATGCAGCTGGCCGCAGTCTTCGCTCTCACTCTAGCCACCACTGGCATCAGCGTTGGCTTCAATTTCCTGGGCCGCGACTTCTATAACGCCCTTGCCAGTCTCTCTCTCTCTCTCTCTCTCTCTCTCTCTCTCTACCATCTTTCCCTTTTGTGCTCATTTTGTTAATCTTATTGGTACTGGTAATAAGTTTATTTACTGAATTTTGTTCTTTTTTGCTTGAAAATTGGATGGTGATGATGATGATATAAAGACAAGGACCAAGAGCAATTCACAAAGCAGCTACTTTACTACTTGGGTGCCTTTGCTGGTGGAATTCCGGTGAGCACCAATTGCTGCACTTTCACTTAGGTATCCATCCCTCTGCTTTTTTGTTTCCTTACTTTTCATCCTTCTTTAATCAACACAAACAAACAAACCTGAAATTAGCACAACCCACAGAGGAAAATAAAAAAGGTAGTTATCATAAGCTTCTGTCAGTAAATTACACAGCAACCCAGTGGGAAAAGAAAAAAAAAAACATATATACAAGCTGCTATATGCATTGTAGTTTTTTGTTTTGTTTTGGGTATTCTGTCCATAACTTTCCACTTTGCATTTTAAACACAACCACTGGGTTCATATTCGTACTATTATTGTTGATTTGTTTGCTTATGCAGTTCCATTGAAACAATGACCTGGTTTACTGACATATTTGTTTCATATGTTGAAAACTGTTGTGCAGATTTTTGTGTTGCGAGATTATGCAAGAGAAACTCTTTCTTTGAGGTGGAGATCTTGGATGACAAAATATTACATGGACCGCTACCTAAGCAACCAAACCTTTTACAGAATTCAATCCCAATCAATCATTGATAATCCTGATCAGCGCATTGTTGATGATCTAAGTTCTTTCACGGGAACTGCCCTATCCTTCTCCTTAACACTTTTCAATGCTGTGATAGATCTCATATCATTCAGTAACATCTTATTTGGTATCTATCCTCCACTGTTTGTTGTCCTTCTTGTGTATTCGATTGGTGGAACAGCTATTAGTGTCTATCTTGGAAGGGTAATATTTGTAACTCTGTTTAACAAAGAACCATTTCCCATGTTATATACAGTTGATATATTTGGCAATAATAGAGGATACCAACTCGATTTAATGGAAACTCTGTATTTGTGTTTTCAGGATTTGGTTTCTTTAAACTTCTTACAAGAGAAAAAGGAGGCTGATTTTCGTTATGGACTTGTGCGCGTTCGAGAAAATGCTGAATCCATTGCCTTCTATAGTGGTGAAGAAAATGAAATGCAACTTTTGCTGCAACGCTTCAAAAGTGCTTTTGAAAATCTGAGTGTATGAATGACTTTAGTTTTCTTCTGTTTTCATTTACTTGAGTTTTCTATCAATGTAGTAATTAGCCTTTACATTGAGGACTCCCTTTTCTCTCACTTATTGAATTTAGTTAATACAATATTGTTTCTGTGTGCATTTACTATAAATATGCCGAAAAATCATACTTAGGACTTCCCCCTTCTATAGATCTACTGAGAGAAGATGAGCATTTTTTTTTTCTTTCTTTCCTTGCATGATTGAATTTAAAGTACACAGATGCCCACGAGTTTTGTTTGCAGTTGATAGTTTTACTGATTTACAATTACTGGACATGTAAATTTTTATTTCATGTGGTTCCATATGATTATGTTTTAATTCCTATTCCTAACTTGCAGAAATTGTTGATATCTTCAAGAAATCTCGAGTTTTTCACCAATGGGTACCGCTATCTTATTCAGATTCTTCCCGTTGCTGTTGTTGCTCCTATGTTTTTCTCAGGAAAAATTGAGTTTGGTGTCATTAATCAGTCAGTATCTGCTTTCAATCATATTCTTGGGGACTTCTCCCTTGTTGTGTACCAATTTCAGGCTATCAGCGCATTTTCAGCTGTAATTGATCGACTTGGTATTGTCTTTCCATCCTTATCACTCTATTTACTATAACTAGGATCTGTTGCGTATGTCTTCTCTGACCAGATAACTTCATAAGAAAGCTGGCTAATTTGGTTGATGCTATATGGGGTCTTGAAAAATTGAATGAATATGGGTAGTCTTCAAGAAAGAAATTGACATAAGATAACCCTTTTTCTTTTTCTATCCATATTCATTTTCCTTCCTAGATTCATTCAGATGATTACAGACTTTGTTTCTATATTTTCAGGTGATATGTAAAACATCTTCAATAATATTTCTACCTTTCACCATATCTTTTATGTTGCATTTAACAGTAGAAGCCTGCTATACTCTTCAAGTTAATTAGATTTATTCCATCATTTACAGATTCATTATACTTTGTATTTTGTTATTCTGCCTAATTCTATTAACTCCGTCCCAAAATTTACTCATGATCTGAAATATTGTAATGTTTTCTTTATGGGTTCCACACAAGATCTTTTATAGCATGTATTCCACTTTGCACACTTGTTTACCTAGTGATATCCAACACATGCAGGTGAATTTGATGATGTGTTGGATACCAGCAACTTTGAACGCCGTTCTGATCCCTCAGAAGGGATATGTCTTATATATTGTAACGTTGAAAGTTTAGCTGAACTGGATTCAAATGGATCCATTCCCATAGACAACGAGCAACAAAAGTTAGTGGATATAGAGAATTTGACTGTGCAGACACCAAGTAGTGCTACATTGGTTAGGGACTTATCATTGCTAATCAACAACAATGAGCACTTATTGGTTGGTAATTCCATTGTGATATTGAATTTATCATGAGTTTACTAGATAAATCTTTTGACCCAGTAAATGCTGAAGAACTTTTCTTGTATATGATCACTTTAATAGGTAACAGGACCAAGTGGGAGTGGTAAGACATCTTTGTTAAGAGCTATGTCTGGTCTTTGGAGTACTGGAAAAGGAGAGATCAAATTCTATGTGAAAGATGGCGAAGAAGATCATCAACCATCCATTTCCTCAGGTGTAGCCCCCCTTAAGGTAGATACTGCTAATGATAAATATGGGGAACTTGGAAGGCCCTCAAATAGGAATTATAAAGGCATATTTTTCCTTCCTCAAAGACCATATATGGTACTGGGAACACTTCGCCAACAATTGCTCTATCCTACATGGGCTGATGGTGCGATTTCAACATCGGAGAGTACTAAACCAACAGGTATGTACTTCAAATCTTTTTGGCACATTTTTAAAAGCATTTCTGACTTAGATTTTTTGGAGCATTTTTTTCCTAATTTTATTTATAGAGCATGTTTTTGTTATTAGGATTTTGGAAATCCTTTTTAAACTCCCCTAAAAAAGGAAAAATAAAGAAAATAGGAGGAAACAATTTTCATTTACAGGAAAAGTCGCTTACCCTTGTATACCTATGCATAACAACTGGAAAGCCAAACTT